AAGCCCCAGGAATTTGCTAGATGTTCCGGTTTTATTAGTGCCTAATGATTCTATAAAGTTTTAAGAAATACAATTAAACATACACATTATTACAGATTTCATAAAAGTCAGTGTTGTGTCAAAATCTGTTGTGGCTCTTCCTCAAGAAAATTCACTGCCCTTTTGGATGCTCAGGCAATATTAACAAAGAAAGTTTTAATTAAGGTTCATAAGCCTATCTTTTGTTTTGTATACTGTAGAATGTGCTAAGAGTACAATGTTTTAGCCTTTTCTTTGCAAAGGCAATGACTATGCAAAAATACTGGCTGGTCATTTATTCTTTCAGTGATTAACTGTCTATCTGCTAAGCCTGTGTTAGGAAACTAGGGAATGCTGGAAATGAGCTTAAACCTAGTATGGTCTCTGTTTTCATGGAAATTAGGATCTAGTTAGGAAAGATAGACTAGTATCAAACAATCACTCAAACTAGTATCAAATTGCAACTATGCAGTGGAATGAAAGCCTGTAATAGGGGATTAGACAAGGAGCTCAGGGAAGGATTCCTGGAGGAAATAACACATTAAGATCCAAAAACAGTATGAATTCAAGTAAAATGAGTAAAGAAATGTTATCAGGCTGAGAAGACAACTGCATGAAGCCCCCTGTGGGCAGGAGCATGGCACATATAAGAGCCAGGGAGAAGGCAAGTTGAGGTGGTGAAGGAGATCAAGATAAAAGGGGAGGCTGGAAAAACATTTTCGGGCAAGATCATGAAGGGACTTAGCTTTTTTAGAGAACTTTAGCTCCATTCCTATACAAATGGAAAGCATATAAGGGTTTTAACAAATATTTCTAGAGGGAGAACAGAAAGATGAGGGTAGACTAGTTGAATACTTCCTATATTACAGTACCTAAGGGCATGCCTTGGTCCAGTGTGGAAGTAGTGGGAAAAGGAGGGCGGAATAAATTCAAGAGGTATTTAGAAGGTAAAGTCAAAAGACTTTGGAGTTGGATAGGATATAAGGAGTGAGGTAGGAAGGGTCAGTGCTGGTTTTCTGACTTCACACATTGATATGTGGTGGTTCCACTGAGACAGGCAACAGCATACAAGAACAGGTATAGTGGAGGGAGATTATGAGCTGGGCCTCAGGTATGCTGGGTTTGAGATACATTTGAGACATCTAGAGGATATTTAAGAAGCTATATGTACAAATCTAAATCTTGGAAGTACATCTGGATATTAAATTTGTAAGCCTTCTATGTAGAGGTGATTGGAGCCATGGGTGTAGATGAAATTATCTAGGGAGGTTGTATTTCAATAAATGTGATATGATAGCAGTGGCAATTTTCTTCCTTCAACATATGAAGAGACAGCTACTGATTTATTTGTGTCTAGATTTCTTGAAATGATTCAAAACAGAATTTGAGTCTTTTCAAGTGATCATTCACATTTATCTACTTTGTAATAGGTATCTGAAAATGTCAGAATTTTCAAGAGCCCAGTAAGAAAGTAAGGTTCCGGGAGAGGATCGACTTGCTGTGTTATCAAGTTGAGAAGGGAGTAAAAATCAAACCTAAATCCCTCTTTATTTGACCCAGCATAAATCAAATCAGCCCAACAAAATATTATACTGCTTTGAATTAGGCTAAAGTAAAAAATTGTTTAATATTTTAAAGAAATTTGTGAAATCATATGGATAGAAAGCTGCAATCAAACAATTCTCTGGGTTGTTTTATTTTCCTGCTACGAACAAAATCTGCTTTTGTGCACTTTTGACATTTATTAGTAGTAAATTCAAATATTAGCTGCTTATCCATGTAGTGTATTAGATTGAAGTTCAGTAGAAAATATTTAACCTATAAAACTCACTCTGGATGAGTCAAGAATTTGGGAGATTTATTCTAGGGAGGTGTTCCTCAAAGTTGGAATGAACAGGTCTGTGATTAGTAGGTTCTCAGTATGTGCATGTTGGAAGACATTATGCATTTCTTATGCAATAGTAAGCATAAATTGCAAAGTATAGAATAATTAATGTAAAAATCAGTATTTTAAAAATTCTTAATTACTGTGAAGTACAAATCACAAAATCTATTGACAAACACTGTAATTGTAGATTAGTCCTTAACATCATAATAGCTATGATATGTAACAAAATGTTGCATGTTATCTTAATCCTTAGATTGTCTCCTGGTCCTGATTTTAGTTGGCTCAGTGATTAGAAGCCCTCTCAACAGAAAGCTCTGCTCATTCTCATTACCTTCTTTGTAGTTACCCAGATACCAGTGAAAGCTCTGCAGGATGCATGTTTGACTAATGATGCTGATGGAAAGTATTTCTGCTAAACTCCAGTTTTTATATGGTGAAAATCCTAATAAAGAAATTGTTCAGGGATCCCTGGGTGGTGCAGCGGTTTAGCGCCTCCCTTTGGCCCAGGGCGCGATCCTGGAGACCCGGGATCGAATCCCACGTCGGGCTCCCGGTGCATGGAGCCTGCTTCTCCCTCTGCCTGTGTCTCTGCCTCTCTCTCTATCTCTGTTTGACTATCATAAATAAATAAAAATTTTTAAAAAAAGGCAAACATCTTTAAAAAAAAAAAGAAATTGTTCACAAGAAGTTTAAAAAGTAGGAAGGAGGAAAAACAAGGGCCTAGCTCATTCATAAACTACAGTACTCATTTTTTAAATATGAAATTTTGCATTCAAGTGGCTAAACGACAGACCTTAGTTTGTGACCTCTTTTCTTGTGGTTTGTTAGGTTGTTCCAGAAACTGGAATGTGAGCGTTTCCCTCAGTTAAGGACTCCACACCTTCCAGTAGAGGAAGACACTAATGTAGTGGGAATGGCTGCCAGGCATGATGAGAAGTAGCCAGCAGTGGAGTTTTTGAGTCTGGGTTTCACTTGATGGGTAGCTTGGATTTATTACTGATTAGCTCTTGAGTTCTCCATATGGAGCAGATGTTTCCCTACCTGAGAAAGGTGTGCTCCTGATATTGGAGGGTCAGGTCTCACTAGGTCATCAATGTGTGCTCTGCCTGTCTGCTAATCTGTGTGCAACTGCTCCCTTTGCCACCAGACAGGCTGCTAGGCTTAGGTGATAAGAGAAATGTATGCCTGAACTGAATCTTGGTCCTGGTAATTCCAAGTTGTGCAAAATTGAGCTAATAACTTTAACCTCTCCATACCACAGTTTTCCAATTTAAATAATGGCGGTATTCACAGAACTCATCTCACAGTGTAGTTGTGAGGATTAAAAGTGTTGTGAAGATTAAAAATGACTAAATGCATGGAAAGTATGCAAAACAATAGTGTTTGGTGCTGTTATTATTATTTAGTTCATACTAAATTTAAAGTCCTAATCTGCATTTTTTCATATTCATCATGAAGTGTCCATTTGCACTCTATGTTAACTGAGTATGGAATCCCAACCATGCAATACATTTCACTTGGAAAGAAAACTCCTGTAATAGATCTCTTTCTAAATCTTTCTTCACTATATTTGTTGAAGCTCCTTCCTCACATACTTGATCTTACCCCAAATACTCCATCCTAATCCCTTCTTTCTTGAACTTTTCCAAGCTCTACCTCTCCACTCTGTGCTAGACCAATTATAGAAGTGATGATTTTCAGAGGGCAATGTATGGTATGTGTGAGTGTGTGTGTAATATAAAGGAACAAAGACAAGGTGTTTTTATGCAAATATTAAGGCAATTATGTCTTACACAGTGTCATTATTGTAGCTTTTATAATTAGTGGAACCTTTGGAAGGAATGTTGTGACCACCGGCCAGGATGCCAAATTTCAGAGAGTGGTAAGGTACAGCACTGCCTCCAGGATCCAACCTAATGCAGTAGGAAATTATCATTCCTTTCCAACTACACCCTTTTCATTCTATTGTATTATTATGCTTTTGCATTAGTGTCTGAAGTTCTCATCCTGTAATAATGATTTTATAAGAAAGGAGCCTATGAATGAAGTAGAGGTGGTTTTTTCCTTAAAGTGTTTTTATTTTCTTCTTTCAAATGTAGCTCTAATAGTGTAAATATTAATGTAAATATATAAAATATAACACTTCTTGTGTACTCACTTCAAGTCAAACAACTTTCTGTTGATTAAGCCAAGTGCAATTTATTATGTTTGGACATAATTCAGTGCGAGATGTGGTCTGTTCTTTCTTATGGTGAATTTTGTGTTTGAGGTGCTTTCTGCAGTCCGTTCACTATAGACTGATGGATGTGGCTGTTGGTTTCATTTTAATGATTTTGAAAAAGTTGTGTTTAGAAGTCAGGTGCAAGGTGGATATTTAAATTTTTGAAGAGAAGTATGCAGCCTTTGCAGTGGATCTAAGATTTGCTCTGCTCAGCCCTCTGTTTTGAAGGCATGTTTCTCCATTTCCATCACAGAATTTCTGAGAGAAAGGGAAACCTTTCCATCTTCAGTCACACTGCTTGTTACTTCAAGAGAAGCCTTTATGAAATGGCAACATTGGAAATATTCCCTGGATCGATTGGTTAGAGGGATACCATGGACTGCAAAGGTCCAGTTCTAAATGGATTAAAACAAGATGCATTACTTTTAAATATATCCTCAGGCATAATTAATTCACTTCAAATATTCATCATATTACATAAAATATGTTATTTTTATGCCTTCTCTAGATAGGAACATTCCCTGTATCCTGAAATGTAATAAGCATGTGGTCATTTGTAATGTGTCTTATTATTATTCCAGTTTTAATTATTATTCTAGCTTCACTTTAAACATTTTAAAGAGTAGAACAGTAATTTCACCAGCTGCTTAGCATCGTTCTACTCAAGAGTGCTACCTAAGAGAAGAGGTGACATCAAGTTACTGCTACTGGAAGCACTTTCTGTTGGTTGCCTGTTGGAACATCAACTGTAAAGAGCAGAGGGGACTTGAAGTACTTCAGAGCTGCATTTCAGCTGAAGCTATTGTTAATTCCTCAAATATTTTATTTTGCTCCCCAGCACAAGAAATAACCAACTTGTTTTGTGCCTTCCAGGTATATTCATTTCAACCAAATAGAAATGCTACAGCCAGAGACCTTTGGAGACCTTCTGAAATTAGAGCGACTATAAGTGTTGACTCTTTAGACGTCCTTTGTTCTGCTTTACTACTTCTGTTTATACAATGTACTGACTGCCCTGGAGACCAGGACATTTTGTTCTAAGCCTACGAAGCAGAGCCTGTACCTTTGTACTATTAGAGTTACTGTAAAACATTCTATAGTTTTAAATCAATGAAGAAAAGATGAATAACCCAATTAAAAACAGGGCAAAAGCAATGAACAACACTTCATGCAAGGAAGTAAAACCACTTTGAAAACTTACAGTAGAATCCACCACAATTAACCATACACATTTCCTATGACCTATCAATCAGTTCCACTTGTAGTTATAGACACAACAGACAGGTACATGTATGCATGTGCACTAGAAGCGTGTTCTAGAGTGTTTATGGCACCATCACTTCTAACAGCTCTACACTAGAGCTACCTAAATATCCAACAACAAAAGGAGGGAAATAAGTTGCTGCATATTCACAAAATAGAAGACTGTACAGCACATATGAGTCTAAGACATTTTGAGCATGAAAAAGTCCAAACACTGAAAATTGCATAGTTTGATTTGTTTTTTGAAGAAATTCAGAAACAGCAGGAACATGTGTAATAGCTAAAAGTTAGACAGTGGTTCCCTTTGGAGAGAAGGAAGTGATGGGCAGCAGCAGGAGGGAGCTTTTGCAGTCCTAGCAGTTTTGTCTTTTTCTTTTTTCCCAGATGCATTCACTTTCAGGAAAGTCATCATGCTTGTAGTATGATATGTGTACTTTTATAGATGAATGTGATATTTAATAAAGCTTTATTAAATAATAATGACAAACCAAAGGAGCTTGGAGAGCCTCCTTTTGTGTTGTGTTTTATTGGATGAATACATTTTACCCCTTAATTTCCTCTAATACCTTATATTAATAAATTAATTATGATTTTAGCAGAAGAAATTGATTTTTTATGAACAGAAAGAAAATACAGAATGATGTAGCTAAACTTAATCAGGACTCTGCTTGAATTAAAATATATCTGAAAAAAAATTGGAATTAGGAGTCTGTAGTTTGTGAAATAGATGTGCTTTCATATTGATACATGAAATAGACAAGTAAAGTTAAAAGATAAAAAGAGCTAATCAACCACTTTTCCATGCCATCCCTCCAACCTTATTTGCATATAGAAATATGGGAATTGTAATGCATAAAATTGCATTGTTTGGATTTGTGTGTTTGTTTTGCTGAAGGTATTTAATGGAGTAGATGTAACTGTACCACTTCCTGCTCCACCAGCTCTCAGCCCTGAGTTCCACCTCAGCAAATTCAAGGTTTAGCATCATGATGACTAATAACCTTAAAAAAAATCTAAGCCACCAACTTTAATGTTGGAAAAAGTTTTGCTGATGAATAAGCATTACTTTCCTCCTTTGAAAACTGGGAAGGGGAGATTCCTGCTCCCCAAAGGAGATCTGGAAGCCTTTATAGGCCCTATGGCAGTGATGGCACCTTGTGCCTTTCAGAAGGGACTATTATCTTAGGATCTATGAGTGATCTTGAAGGAGTAGGGAATGACCAAGAAAAAATGCTTTAACTTTTACTTTCCCCTCTACTATGTAAATAAAAACTGTATATACTTATTTCTTGAAAGATCTCTGATTATATTAATCACAGTGTGTTTTGTTATATTTCTCTTTTTTTAGTTCTTTGAATTCTCCTGCTTCTTCTGGTGTTGGTTTTTCTTTGTTTTGTCTTGGTCATTACTTGCCATTTTTTTGGTTCTGATTAAGCTCCTATGCTTTGTGATTATTGGTATTTATATTTGAAAATATGGGGTTGGGGGTCTAAGTTTCTCCTTTTCCCTTGTGGGTATGTCTGTTCTCTTCCAAAATTTCCCACTAGAGGGAATTTTAGTCTGGACAGTTGGGTGGGAAAACTGCAGATTTCTCTGTCTAAAATACTAGAATGTGGAAGGAAAGGCTTACTTATAAAGAACATTCATGGTTACTAAGAATACATTTGGTTTTATTGGTTTGCGGAGAATACCAGCTTGGAACAGCATCACACTGGATGCTTTATGGAGCATCAGAGACTGACATTGAGTCCACCAGCCTGGAAACTGTCTTCTTTACCAGGCATAAATCTCACGGTAGCCAAGGTTCTTCAAGAAACTTTTTCAAAGTATAGGACCTGAATATGAAGTTTTCTCTACTTCTTAGAAGTCTCTTGGATTTCCAGTGGATATATCTTGAAATACTAATCTAAGTTTCAGGCAGAAGATACACTTTTCTCTCCTCAGAACATTAATGTTGAAAAAAGTCATTCATGGCTTGGCTTGTTTGATAACATGTGTATTTCTGTCACAGGAAGATCAGTCTTTGTATAAATCTCAGTGCAATGGATACTGTTATTTTTTTAGCCAAGTTTGACATAAAATATTAGCAGCAAATAATTATTATATGAACTTTCCAATACAGGAAGAAGTGTTTTTGAAATCTTATTGGGAGTAAAGCAATCAAAGTGGTACTTCTATAAGCAGAACTCAACAAATAGTCTGCAGAAGCACTTTGAAGATTAACTTCAGGGAAGTTAGAAAGAAGAAAGAAAAAAGAAAGCACAGGCACACATTTTTGCACCCCTGCTGAACAGTACTGCTGAAATACTACTACTGTTTTAATACTCTCACTGACATAGTAATCTAAGAGAGAAATAATAATAATTATTATCATAATAGGTTCATTTCATAGATAAGGGAACTGAGGTTTAGAGAGAGTAATCTACTTGAAAACAAATAGTTATAGCAAGTAGCAATCGAATCTGATTTGGGAACCCCAATAATATGTATGGCATAAACTAATGTTAAAATAACATTAATTTGGACATTTTGTCATTGCACAAAATAAAGGAAAATTTTTGATATTTACATACCTTCAAAATCTGTGATGATGAAATTGTCATTATGCTTTTTTCTTGATTTGTTTTGCCTGTTAATTAATTCTGGTCTACTTGGCTTGGAAAATAGGTATATCTTTCAATATCTGATTATTGATGCCATTTCCAGCCTTTTAAATATGTTAAGAGAATGATCAGCAGCCCTTTTACTGTTGCTATCACACTAGACTCTACTAGTTGTAAAATAGTGAAATGAGCTTGTAGTCCAACAAAAAAAACACATAAGTTGTCTAAATTATGTGGCTTTCCTAAGGTTCAGCTGCAATGGACTACAAGCTACTTCTCCATTAAATTCTACTCCAGTATCTCCTGAGATATGGATATGAGTCAGAGCTTGTGAGAAATGAGAATTACTGTGTGACTCCTATCTCCACACCCATCTTAACCTAACTGTTCACTGTTTCTTCTCTAGTCATTGCTTCTGAGTTTGGTGAATTGGGTCGGGTAGGGGAAGATGAGAATAAGGAACTAAAAGAGTGAGGATCAGGAAAAAATTTTTATCTACTCAAGATATGCATAAAATTCCAAAGCCATAAAAATATTTCGACTCCTGCTGACACCCTGTTACTTTAATCCCTAATAGATAAAATACTTAAAATTAAGCTAAAAACATACACTGCTAGGAAAACATGGTCAGATGATCCTATTTAATTTTGAGACGGGGCACTGTTCATGAAGTAGGATTCAGAGGGAGGCTGGAAGTAGCTAATTGTTAACGTTTTCTATACAGCATTCGATTATTTATGCTCATTTCTTTGTCTCTAGAAATAAATGGCATGGCGCTTTCCTCTGTTTTGTAGACTACTGTTTTATCCTCTCTTCATACATATGCTCTTTGTTGAATGTGCTTTCAGTGGTGCTAGTGAGCAGATGGACCCTTGCTGGTGATTTGCTAGTCAGTGGGAAGAAGTAGTATGGGCAGGCCAGCATTCAGGGAACCCAAACCAGTGCAGGACAGACAAGGTGGAAGGAGGGGTGGAAATACTGTGGCCTGGGCCTCCTCCCTTGCCTCCAGTGGTGGAAGCTGTGGGAACATTTGAAAGGGAACAGGCAAATGGCTGGCTGAACCAGGGACCCCAGCAGCACCAAATGGAACTGTAGGTTAGCAAACTGCTGCTGGCCAGTAAGTGGAAGTAGACAAAGGGCTGCCAAGCCCGGGATCCAGTTAATCATGGTTCTCTTGCAGGCTGCTGCAGTCATACATTATTTTGCCATTCTTTTTCATGAATTCATTCTCTACCTTGATTTCCTATGTGTTTAAAGGCTTATTTTTGTGATTTCCCTCTTTAGTATTTGTAATCTCTAACTAAATAAAACAAAAAAATTCAAGAACCATGGATGAGAAAATACATGCAGGTAAGTCTTTAAAACTGTACTTGCACAAATGACAATTTTGTTTGACCTTTCTCACCGAAATACTTTTAAAGATGTATTTGGATTTGGGGTGCCTAGGTGGCTCAACTGGTTAAGCATCTGCCTTAATTAGGCTCAGGTCAGGATCGCAGGGTCCTGGGATTGAGTCCTACATGGGGCCCGCTGTTCAGCAGGGATTCTGCTTCTCCCTCTTACTCTCTCTATGTTTTTCCTATCAAACAATAATAAAAACATAAAAAAAAAAGTGTTTGAATTCACAATTCGATTTTTTAAAAAGTCTCCCCAAAGCATCATTACTGTGTTTTGATTCAAAATTATCTTTTGTTTTTCAGGTTTTTGCATAACAACAAATTATCTAAAATCCCTGCTGGGAGCTTTTCTCATCTGGATTCATTAAAGAGACTGTAAGTGAAAGCAAGTGTCCAAACACAAAACCTTATAATTTCCCCCCAAATCAATAAATCCCAAGCAATGATTTGCCTTTGTCTCCTTTGGCCATGACAGATCATTGCAATTCCAGCGTGTAAGGGAGAAAACAGTTTCGTTAACTGCAGAGTGATAGAGGACACAGTCTACTGAGCTTTTATGTATTCTCTTAGAAGTAGCATTCAAAAGGAATTTTGAAGATAGAAGTTTCCTCGGTTCTCAGTAATTTCCTTGCTGGTCAAATCTAAAGACTCCCAAGACTTCCTTTTCCTTTAGCTTTTATTTAAAAAGAGATGTGAGAAGTTCCAAAGAAAGTCTAACTCCCCTGTCCAGGCTTCAGAAGTTTTCCCTCATTGCACATATGGTTGGTTACTGGTACTGTTCATTTCTTCCTACACTAAACAATTCAGAGTGAACCTCCCAATCCTGTTTGAGCCTCCAGCCACCTTGCTTTTCTTTCTGCCTGTGTGAATCACTCTCCTTTACCCTGATCTGTCTCTTCACCTCCATCTCTGGGTATGCTTCTGCATTGTTGATGGATTTAGGGTGGTTTTTTTTTTTTTTTTCCCTCAGTTAGTTCCAGTTATCAGATAAAAGCCTAATGCCCTGCTTCCTAGTGCTAGTTGGAGGGTACAGAGTGGAAAAATCACAAAGGTGTATCTCTCAGTTGCCTTTGAAGGCTCGTTGTTGCTGATGTCTTTCTGGTGTGATATGCCCAGGTCCAGGTCAATGGGCTAGGAAATGTGAAGCTTAGGTAGATTTTGAACACTGAGGGAAATGATTTTGTGTTTAACTCGTGCCTGAAATAATGCTTGGAATCATTGCATTTCAAAGATCATGAATAATCAGGAGGACTGTTTATCCAGCTGCAGTCCATTTTGTCGTGTATATTGTCTGTCCGCTTTCATGGCACTTCACGCAGAAGACACTGCATTCCTGCCTTTTCTCCTTTGGTTGGGCTCTTTATGCTTAGACCCACAATTGTTTGATGATTCTCTTTTTCTGTCAAAATTTTCTGGCTTCTCAGAACTGGTTTCACTACAGCCATTTGGAATGGTATGCACACTGATTCCTGTTTGTTGTAATAATAGACTATCTTGTAGGGGATCCCTGGGTGGCTCAGTGGTTTAGCACCTGCCTTCGGCCCAGGGTGTGATCCTGGAGTCTCGGGGATTGAGCCCCACATTGGGCTCCCTGCATGGAGCCTGCTTCACCCTCTGCCTCTGTCTCTGCCTTTCTCTCTCTCTCTCTCTCTCTCTCTCTCTCTCTGTCTCTCATGAATAAATAAGTAAATAATCATAAAAAAAATCCTGGGATTCCAGGATCATGCCCTGAGCCAAAGGCAGACACTCAACCTCTGAGCCACCCAGGTGCCCCATTTTAAGCCACTTTTAAGATAATGTTGTATGTTGTGTTGATGGAGTGTCTGTTTACATAGATGGTACACTGATCACTTATGGCCATGATAAACTGATACATAGATGATTTCAGTAAACTCTTCCAAGATTCATGAGATCTTGGTCAGTCTTAGATGGTGAGCACTGGCACCTAGTTATTCCAAATCCTGAAACATGTGCCTGACCAGGCTGTAATTTAGACATGAAAATCAGAATATAGGAAAGTGACTGAGGGCTATACTTTTGCAAAGTATACTGTAGATGTTTAGTGCATGAGATTGTTATATTAGTTCAAACATAAAGGAGGTTTTTAAGTGGCAAGTGAAAAAAAAATCCTGTAGTTGTTTTATTCATGTTTTGTATCCCTGCTATGGATGAATATTTTAATTGAAGTCAATGGTCATATAAAGAAGAAATTAAATCTTATGCTTAAATGTTGCTAAAACACATAAGCATGAGGATACATATGGGAAAGTATGGAGCACTGATTAATGGAGAACTGATATGTAAGCAATGGTGATGTCAGGGAAGTGGAAATTCCAGACTGTTAGGGTCTCATGACTATGATGTTCCCAAGGGAGTTATGTTGGTGTCCTGGCTTTTGTTCACTTAGAGTCTCAGGGTGATACTAATGGGAGAATCTGCTACATGCCAGTATCCCCGAAGGCTCCAAGGACGCTCCATCGCTTCGTTAACAGTAGAAGAATTCAACTGTGGTATGCAATTTTCTCTCTGTGTGTAAAATGGAGTGTCTTTTCTTTGTTCCCTTTCTATAAATGTTTGTTATATGATGTTGCATTTGGAAGAGCGTAATATCAGAAAATGTCATCATTTAACTAAAAAGTTAAAAGTATGGCCAATTTCCTTTTCATCATCTGCATTTTTATTTAAGGAACTTTTTATCATCATCATAACCAGAGCTGGGACGGTCCTTGAGGATCCTTTAATCCAACTTCCAAATTTCAAAGGAGAAACATTAAGGAAAACTATTTTTCAACAAGGTCACAGGACACTGTTACCAGCATTAAAGGTTCCACTTATACCAGTATTACTTAAGTGCTAATAATCAATAATTGAAGTTTTTCAACTTTAGATCATATAATTATTAATATTCATACTAGTAATGCAAACTTTCAATTTGACAAGCATAGTTCATATTCTGACAGCTTTAATAATTCTATCAGGCTTTAATTGAAAATCCAATCATCACTTCTTAGAAATTATTTGGTTCTCACTACAAGCTTTCAATATAAATAAAAGAATATCTACCTTTATATCTATCTAATCTATTTATATATATAGCCTTAAATACGAAAAAATGAATATACATACATACATGTACATGTGTGTGATAATTGGGCTCCTTGAAAATTTACTGAGGTGATAGCTTACAGCAGAAATTTGCTTTCTAATGTCTCATTCACTCAAGGCCAATTTTTTAATTCCTTTAAGCAGTACATTTGGAAAATTATATTAATATAATTTAATTCCATCCAGATTAAGACAAAGTGCCTTGGTCTTTATTTCCAAATAAGTTGGATTTGTCCATACCTTCCCTTCTCACTACCAACTTGCAATTTATGTCATAGTCAAGTTTGCCAGGAACACAGAACATAACTGCTGTCCCAGCTTTCATTTTCTTCACCTCTAATCTATTATATTTGGGGAGATATTTTATTTATTTTTTTTTTAAATTTTTATTTATTTATGATAGTCACACAGAGAGAGAGGGAGAGAGGGGCAGAGACACAGGCAGAGGGAGAAGCAGGCTCCATGCACCGGGAGCCCGACGTGGGATTCGATCCCGGGTCTCCAGGATCGCGCCCTGGGCCAAAGGCAGGCGCTAAACCGCTGCGCCACCCAGGGATCCCTTGGGGAGATATTTTAAAACACAGATCTGATTACATAATTCTTATTGCTATAACTCTTTAATAGCTTCCCACACCTTAAAATGAAACACCAAATCATTTACAAGGTCACACTTCCTCTATGTTATAATTCCTGGCTACTCTGTAACCTTGATTGATTCTGCCCTTGCATCTGCTCAGTGATGTTTAGCCATCTCTATGTTCTTTCAGTTCCTAGAAATTCTTAAGCTTTTTTCCAACTCAAGGACTGACTACATGCTATTTACTACAATATCCTTCTTGCAACTCTTCTTTTAAGAGCCCTCTTCTTAAATATTAATTACTTGGAAAGGTTTTATTTAATTTCACTCTCTACCCACCTTCTCCCTACTACACACTCAGCATCAAGTCCCTTTTACAATCTGTCAAATCATCATTTATTTTTCTTGACATTTATTATATTATTATACATTTTTGTGTTTGTTTAATTTCAGTTGCTTCAATGAAACTGTAAGCCCATGAGTATAGAGACTTTGTTTTGATCATTGTTTCATCACTGTCTCAGCACTGTGCCTGACACACTGTAATGCTGAATTATTTAAAATATATATATATAAATGAATCAAACCATTTTTTGAAAAAAAGAGTAAGGCCAAGATGTTGTTCATATGGACTTTCAATGAGGTGGTTAAGATTGATAGAGAGCCATGTAACATTCCCCATACATGTTAAACTTGTTAATGATTGGAAGTCTCACATGATACATTTATAAAAAGAAGAGTTTTTATCATTTAGAAAGATATTTAAAAATTATATTAAGTTTGCTATAGACAGGCAAAATTCCCCTTTTTACATTGTTCTCTATAAATTCAATATTATCTGATTAAAAATAAATCATCCACTCGCATATTAAAATAATTTAAATGTTTCTGTGTTTTACCACTAATTATTATTCGAGAATGGAAACATTCACTTATATTAATACATAATTTGCTCAACCAGGTTTGAGGCCTAGACATACAAACTCTTAATTTTTTTTAATTTTTAATTTATTTATGATAGGCAGAGAGAGAGAGAGAGAGAGAGAGAGAGAGAGAGGCAGAGACACAGGCAGAGGGAGAAGCAGGCTCCATGCACCGGGAGCCCAACGTGGGACTCGATCCCGGGTTTCCAGGATTGCGCCCTGGGCCAAAGGCAGGCGCTAAACCGCTGCGCCACCCAGGGATCCCCATACAAATTCTTATATATTGCATAAAGTAGGTAGTTAGATGGCTAATTGTCTAGAAGAGTGCCTGCAAAATTGCAAGCTCAACTGGAGTACTTGGCTTGAAATATTGATCCATAATATCAAACTCCTTCCATAAATATGGTTGTATTGAACTACTAGAAATAAAAGCACAGAGAAATGTGTTTAACTTACTTCATTGGAGATTTCTTTATGCAGTGAATCTTTCAAACTTCTTCTTTTTTTTTAGATTTTATTTATTTATTAGAGACACCCAGAGAAAGAGAGAGAGAGAGAGGGGGGGGGGCAGAGGGAGAAGCAGGCTCCATGCAGGAAGCCCAACGTGGGACTCGATCCTGGGTCTCCAGGATCAGGCCCTGGGCTGAAGGCGGCACTAAACCGCTAAGGCACCAGGGCTGCCCAATCTTTCAAACTGCTAAACTTTTGTTAAGTATATGTCTAACATCTAAACTGGTATATTACTGGGAAAATGCAGTAGAATCTGTAAAACTTTAATGTAGAAGGAAATTAAAATTATCTGTAGTCCTTTGCCAATAGTATCTTAGAATACCATAAATATTGGATCTTTAAAAGCATACCAATAATTCTTCTATTACAGAGAGTCCTCGAATTACTTCTGAGCCCCAGGATGTGGAGGTAACATCAGGGAATACTGTCTACTTTACCTGCCAGGCTGAAGGAAATCCCAAACCAGAGATTATTTGGATACATAACAAGTAAATACTGAGCATGAGCATGTGTTGGATTCTCTTCCAATTTCATTAATCCATTTATCTTTCTTCAACTAGTTTATTTAGAGATGAAATTTCCAAAATTACCAGTATTTCTGGACATTTCATAAAAATGTCTTTTAAATTTCATCTTTTGACTTATCCAAAGTATCTGGAAGACTTCTTAAAATTGTATATTTCCAGATATCAATGATTGTGAAATTGAATAAAGGAATCTTGTATTATTTCTAGAAGGAAATATTTAGATAATAACAAAATAGTATGTTTTAAAATCTGAACATAATTAGATATAACCTCATCTTAATTATTTTAGTTTCAAACTGGTTTTTACATTTGATGTTGCAAATTTTACATAGTAAATCAGTATAACATTATGTAAGTGAATTGACAATAAAGGATATGCAAGCTTACTTAAAATACTAGTCATTTATTTTATTCTTATTGCAATATTTGATAAAACATGGTATATATGAATCTAAAAGCCTGTGAACATAAAGTTGAATAGTAGTAAGAAACATAAAAAGTTAAAGTCAAAGTAAAAAAAAGGAGTTGGAAAGTAATATGAAATAGATACATAGAATGAATTATATACTTAACACAGTTCAATTATAGCACTTGGACAATTATATTATCATTAATTACATTATTGGTGACTCGTATGGTTTGCATGTGTCTCTTCCATGCTTGCACAAAATATCACTGATTGTTTTCTGTCATGTGTATAATTAAATGTTTATGCTTTCCTTGGTAAAATATTCTGATATAGTTTGTGTCTTTTTGTATATAATTTATATTTGTAATTATAGTAAGAAACCCAGACATGTCTGTAAAATGTGTTTTTAATTCTAGTAAAAAACTAATAAGTACAGGTTAAAAATAGCTTGGAAAGAAGGCAATTATGAATACTATTAAATCTGGAATCTGGCCCAGGAGAAAGACTTCAATTGATAGAAGACTTCAATTTATTTCCATCTGGAGATTGTTCAAGAGAAATAGAAATTGCTGCTTGTAATGTCTTCAAACTGCTTGCTCTGCCTTCTTAACAGTTTAAATTCAGACATTATGTGTTCAGGGTTATAAAGGTACTGACTAGTATTCAGAAAGGGATAAATAAAAAATCATATTGCCTGATGGAATGTATGACATAAGGGTTTTAAATATGGTGACTAAAGAAGTTAAGATTCATTTAAAAGAAACAAAGAAATTGAAAAAGAAGGAATAAAATGAAGGAAAGGTGAATTATAGGTAGAAATTTCTGTTATAGTATTAACAATTTCATATAGAAAAAATAGAGATGAAAGGGAAGAATTTATGCAAAGAAATGCTTAATATTAACAAATCTTAGCTTACTGATTATCAGGTATTTTTTTATAGAAAGATCATATATGTACTGAAAGTACATGAAACGTATAGTACAGCAGATAATTTGAAACACACATCTATTTAACTAAACTAGGCTAAGAAAATAATACTACCAATTCATTAAAAGCTAGCTAGGTGTTCTTTCCTTAACACTGTCCTGATTTCCTCCCCTGGAAATAACCTCTATCCTGACTTTAGAGTCCATAGAGCAGTGGGTTAAGAACTGATTAGACACAAGCAATGGTAGAATTAGAGAATTAGAAGGTATGTTCATTGAAATAAATTAGCTGTCAGGATGGTTAAGAAGCATGGAAATTATAATCCACATGTCCAGGACATATCCACTGGGAATTCCAGAAAGAAAAGTTAAAAATAGTGAGCTGGAGAGAATGTTTAGAGAAGTAATAAGAAAAGAGAGAGAGAGAGAGAGAGAGAGAGAGAGAGAGAGAGAGAGAGAGAAGTAATTATGAGAACTCTTCCAAAAATTAAAAAAAAAATCATGAAATTTCAGATTAAGAATTGTACTGATTCCCAACCAGAGCTTAAAAAAGAAATCTATACTTGGTGCATTATGATCAGAAAATTGGAAGAGATAAAATCTTTCATTCCAAGATAATTTTCAGATTACCCTCAAATGCATAGAAGTTACAAGGACAATTAACTTTACACACTAGAAGGTAATGGCATATATTTAGCTTATTAAAGGGAAAAAATCTAGTTTCCTTCAGTCTTAGCTAAATTATCTGACAAGCATATTAAAGACATTTTCAAAGAGTTGAGCCTTACTTAGGAATATTTGCCAAAAGTATCACAAATAAGGAAGATATGATATGCAAGAAACAAAAGTGAAAACAAAGTATTTTTAAATATGTTGGTAAATAAGAATAAACAGATTATTAAAGTATTGACCAACTGTAAGAGAGAAGTAAGAGAAGAAGTAAGAGAGAAGTTAGGTGATACTAACAAAAATATTGTATGGAGAGAGGACATAATTAAATCATTTTCCATGTCTCAGCTTTGAAGTGTAGAATGATAATGACTTTTGGAGATTTTGAGAAGTCAAGAAGACTTGTTAAAAATTATGGTAAAATACTAAGAAACAGGAAGAGAATACAACTTTCATACTAAGAGAAGAGAAAGAGGGATTAAAGAAAACTAGACCAACCAACAAAAGGAAAGGAGGGGTAGAATTAAAGTAAAGGAAAGGCAAAGGACAGAGAAAATGAACAACATTTCTCATAAGAAATAAGCTTAAATACATTAATAAAAATAAATGTACAGACTTAAATAGCCTTTTTAAAGACCTTATGATTGGATTAAAAATTTCAGCTATGTGCTACTTACATTTATCTAAAGCATTATGATACTGAGAGGTAAAAGCTAGATGGTAAACAGATAATAGCAAAGTTGGACTAATCAAAATAAAGGTCTATATCAATATTAATATCAACCAAAATAAATTTGAGAAAAGTATAATTGCATATCATTAGATCATATATAAAAACAACAATTCACCTGGATATGAGTTCACAAACTTTTGTGTACCTAACAAAATAGCTACCCAAAAAATAAAACAAAATTAAAAGGATTACCAGGATTAATTGGCATAAAGTCAATTATAGGGAGAAATTTTAGTACTCTTTTCTTAGAATAAGAACAAAAATTAATAGGAACAACATAGGAAGACTGATTTTTTTTTAAATTTTTATTTATTTATGATAGTCACAGAGAAAGAGAGAGAGGCAGAGACATAGGCAGAGGGAGAAGCAGGCTCCATGCACCGGGAGCCCGATGTGGGATTCGATCCCGGGTCTCCAGGATCGCGCCCTGGGCCAAAGGCAGGCGCCAAACCGCTGCGCCACCCAGGGATCCCAAGGAAGACTGATTTTATATGTAATATATATATCTGCTATGTGAAAAGCTACACTCTGCTATGGTTTCAAGTAACTATGGAATATTTATCAAAATTGATGACAAAGAAAGAAAGAAAAATCTCAACTCATAGCAAAGAACCAACTTCATAAAGACCTCTTTTTTTGACCATAATTTAATAAAATTAGATATCAACCATTTGCCAATGTTTGCAGATTCTTTAGGCTTATCAGAAGGAAAGTAAAGTGAATACCAGTACCTAGAAATAACAATCAAAATAATTTTTTAATAAATGATTGATTGGATTCAAAAAGGAGGAAAAGCATACCAGCTGGAAAAAGAATGAGAAAAGTATAGGACAGAAATCAATTATGATTGGATTTGGGAAAAAGAATAGATCATATTTGTTAGAATAAGGATTTTACGTATGAGTGTAATAGGAAAAGATTGCAAAACGACTGGAAGGCTAATGACTTCGGCTTTTAATTTATAATCTTTGAGTGCCACTGGATATCGAGCAAGATAATCACATGACTATAAACCGTTCATGCCTTTCTTAATGTTGAGGTTCTAGACTGTGGGAATTTTGGCCATTAAAAAAAATGGAAACTGGCAAATATTAGTACAATATTTACAGTAGATTATAAGCAAGTTTTGCAATTATATTCTAACCTATAGTTTTTCACTATATGCCTTCTCTCTCTCTTTTTAAGATTTTAGTCATTTACGAGAGATACACAGACACAGGCAGAGACATAGGCAGAGGGAGAAGCAGACTCCCTGTGGGGAGCCTGATGCAGGACTTGATCCCAGGACCCTGGTATCATGTCCTGAGCCAAAGGCAGGCACTCAACCACTGAGCGACTCAGGCATCCCTCACTATATGCTTTCTTATGTGGAAGATATTTTAAAAATGTGGGCAGAGATGATAACTTATTCATCTTTATATTTCTGGTACCTAGCCATAGGGCCTAGTTCTTAGAAAACCGTTAATAAGAGTTTGCGGTAATGAATTGCCTTTACTAATCAAATGTGTTTATTGGCATATTTCCAAGGAAAGAAAAACAGGTAAATTCAACTTAAGAAAACCTTTGTGTTTTTACATATGATTACTATTGGTCTGCATCAAATTGACAATGCAATACGTATATTGAATCATGAAGACTTGCTTTGAATTTTTGAAGGAACATCATGATTCATGAGCAGACAACTTTTATCAGTATAATGAAGAAGATAGGAACAAAGAAGGAAATAACTAGGAAAAGGAATGATGTATTTTAAATTTATGGTGTGTTTTGCTGCTGTTGGGTTTAAATCATTTAGAGTGAGAATTGGTGAATTCCATTGCATTGTCTAACCAGAAGATAGATCTCATGTACACATTTGGTAACTTTTTATATTTTATTTTATTTATTTACTTTTTAAAATTTTTATTTATTCGTGAAAGACAGAGAGAGAGAGAGAGAGAGAGAAGCAGAGACACAGACAGAGGTAGAAGCAGGCTCCATGCAGGGAGCCCAAAGTGGGACTAGATCTGGAACTCCGGGATCATGCCCTGAGCTGAAGGCAGACGCTCAACTGCTGAGCCAACCCAGGCGTCCCAACCTTTGATATTTTAGAACAAATTTTTCACCATGTTTGCTTTATTTATCTGTGTGTAATATATGTACACAACTATTTATCTCCTCTTCCTCTCTCTTCTCCCTCCTTTTTCTTTTGCAAGACTTCGGCATCACATGGGGGCTGAGATGTTGTTACTAGTCTGTCCTTTGACGAGACTCTACCTCCATGAAGGAAGGGACTGTGTCTATCATATCATTCCAAGGAGTTGGGAAGGGTTAAATTGTAGTTCATTATAAAAGGACATAACTCAGGGACAGCCAGATGGAAGAGATGCATAGGGCAAGGTATGTGGGAAGAGGTGCAGAGCTTCTATGCTTTCTGAGCATGACACTATTCAAATCACTATTCAAATCTCTATGACACTATTACCAGCTCAGAAGTTCCTAGAACAAATTTTAAGGGAACTAAATCATCTTTGGAAAAGGTGAAATTCCATTATTGCTGGCATATTCCTTTGAAAGTAGGTTTAATTGGGTTCAAGGTTAGATGATTTTGGAATTGTGTTTAAAATAATTAGTTTAATACTAAATAAGACTTTTGAATTTGTACAGTTTTTAAAAAAAATGTTTTCTGATGTTCATTGTGTGTTACTGACATTGAGTAGTTGTTGCAGTTTATACTCATGGGAATATCCAGCATCTAGTTTCTTATGCCTTGCATTGCTGGCCATTGAAAAACAATATTGTTTTTCCTGAAGCTAATCTCTTCAAAAATAGTAACTTGAAGTTCTCATTGAGTAACTGGTTGTTCCTAAAATTGACATTTTTAGTGGGTGAAAAAGAACAGATTGCTCCACTCTGAAAGAATGAAACATTCTTTTAGAAAGTGAAGTATAGCCATTGTGTGCTTCTTTATCCTTTGTGATGAAACTTGCTGAGTAAGGATGGTTTCTCCATCTCTTTAACATGCTTTAGTTTTTACATATATGAAAATAAGAGGAGTTATTATTTTTCAGTGTTGACACATTTTTAAATTAGTAGACAGATGTTTACTTGGAAGCCATTAGCTTTGTAAAACAAACAAATTAAAAAAGAGAAATGAAATCCTCTCAATGGACTTTTTCCTCTATAAAGGGTGTTATTGGTGGGTGACATATAGTTAGTGTTTCATAAATGCTTATTAAGTGATGAATGTGTGTTGGGGGATTTTTTTTTTATTTTGAATACATTCATAGTAGTAAGCATACATCTATATTCCTTCTCACACATGATTATTCAGTATTTTTAAAGGGGAAAGAGTACCCTGGTGAGACAAAAACATTCTGTAGAAACTTCGGACATATGTTTATGTGTCAATAGCTTTGCATTTATTGCTAAAGATAACCCCAAAAAATCACCAGTATCTGAATCTTCTGGATGATAGTCTTCACTACTGTACTTTTCCATTTAAATTGATAACAGCATTTTCCTAGTATTTCCAAAATGGTCCAGTTCAGCTAAAAGAGCCTAATATCCAGCAACTGGGTAAATGGTTTTTGCTTACTTAATGCCACGTTGTATAATTATCCTTAGGCTTTGAGTTATGTTGCCTTGACTCTAAATATTTTCCTACTCTTCAACAAAATATAAATGCATAATGAATGACTCACAGAGAAGAGATACAAAACTCACATATCACCATTTGATGATTTCTCTCTCTTTTTTTTTAATAGGAATTCAGAGATAAAACAATGTGCTAAAGTGTCTGTCACACTGGAGACAATGGCTTCAGTGTCTACATTCACGCTGTCCTGGAAAGGAGGACACTTAAACCTCTTTCCTTTCTATCATGTCTTGACTTGAAACCTGTGTGTAGGCTACAACCTCAGAAATAGGAAGGGACAACTAAGATTTAAATTAAAATTATCTGGGGATGCCTGGGTGGCTCAGTGGTTGAGTGTCTCCCTTTGGCTTACAGCGTAATCCTGGGGTGCTGGGATCGAGTCCCACATTGGACTCCCAGCAGGGAGCCTGCTTCTCCCTCTATCTATGTCTCTGCCTCTCTCTATGAACAAATAAATAAAATCTTTAAAAATATATAAATTAAAATTATCTGAATTATGAAGACAATTTGAAAAATCAAGTCAATATACATGGAAGATATTTTTAAGGTCCTATATTTTCAGTCTTGCTAAGTGTTTTAAATAGGACTGGGATTAAATAACGTGTATGTAAAATGTGTGTTTCCAGCCACTCATTGGATTTGAAAGATGATCATCGACTTAATTTGTTTGATGATGGGACACTCATGATTCGAAACACTCGAAAGTCAGACCAAGGTGAATATCAGTGTATGGCCAGAAACTCAGCTGGGGAAGTTAAGACACAGAATGCTATGCTTAGATACTCCAGTCCTCCAGGTACAACTTTTTTTTTTTAATTTTAATGATTGAACTTAATGTAAATGCATTAGTTCTCCATCAGTGATTTGCACTAGAAAATGACTTTATATTGCTTCTTTGGAATGCTTAAAAGTAAAACGATTGCCGTTGTCTATCACTTCCTAATCTTTTACAGAAACTTGAGGCTTTTTTCTCTTGAATTTTAGTTTAATTTCCTGCCTTAGTTCTATTCTTTTCTAATCACAATAGGCGCTGTCCTAAGACTGCTATCCTCCTTTTGATTACCCATCCAGCTTCTTCAGAACATGATCCAGCATCCTCAAATGGATTCCATCCTCAAATGGAATCAGTGATACCTAGGCAGGACTATCATCCTTTTTAGCAAATCATTGAATTATTCATTCATAATCAATTCACTCACAAATATTTATTGAATGCCCACTGAGCTAACTGTTGAAGATTATAGAGTTAATAACTTGTGCTCCTTTAACTTTCCAGGAGCTTTGCTTTATTTACCATAATTTCAGTGGTTTATATAAACCAGACACAGTAGCTGTGATAAATTTTTAGTAATATCATTTTCAGGAAGGTGATGGAAATAGTGAGAAATAGAGAAATATGTCTCACCTTACCAGGTCTATAATCTATTAGGTGATAGCCATAATTCAATAAAATGATAAATTTTATGATGGTTAAGGAAAGGGGATAGAAGCATAAAGGATAAATGTGTGCTGGTAAATATTTATTTTTAGTTTTTAAGAAATATTTGTTAGAGAGAGAGAGTATGTGTGTGTGTGCACAGGAGGTGGGTGGAATGGACAGAGGAAGAGAGAGTGAGAGAATTCTCAAGTAAACTCCCCCCCTGAGTATAGATCAAGTCACCATGGGGCTTGATCATAACTGAGCCAAAATCAAGAGTTGGATGCCACCCAGGAGCCACCCAGGAGTCCTGCTGGTAAATGTTTAAAAACCGTCTCTGGGGCATGAAGGCAAAACCCTAATCCACAGTATTTGTTAACGATTGACATGCCATCACTGAATTTGGAGTTAGGAAAAGTTGTATAGTAGCACACCATTGCATAGAATTTCCACCAGGGAGATACAATAGATGCTAATGATCTCAAGACCCTGGATAATAGTAAAATGTAAACTAATTAGAAGTGTTAAATGTCAGAATTTATCTTTGATATTTGATTTATTTAATTGTAAGTTCATATAATTTAATTTTTAGCAATGGCTATGCTTAACAACCAGCTTGAAAAATTCCAAAAATTTGATAACTGACTCTCTAGAGCCAGCTCCAACGTACCCCTGACAGAGGAGGAGCACTTAGATCAGACTTGGAGATCTGTGTTCATTCAAGAAAGGATTTTCCAGACCAGTGACATCTAAGCTGAAAGCAAGAAGTACAAAAAAGCCAGATAAATAGGATTGAAACCTTATCATAGTGGAAAGGCAGTAAAGGTAGACAGAGCAGGGCACACTCAAGACAGAAGTTCTGGCTGCCTGGAGGATACAGATGAAGGACCATTGGGAATTACATGAGATTTGGTGAGCTGTAAGTTGAATCATTCATGACTGTACTCTAAGTGTGATCAAAATGAGATTTTTTCTTTTACAAAGATCTCTCAGGCAGCAGTTTAGAGGACAAGCAGGAGGACAGAGTAAGGTGAGGAGGTCAACAGTCTGTAGTGATAATGCAGAGGAGAGTAGTGACATTGGATAGGGCAGTGACAGAAAGAATAGAGAAGATAGCCCTGAACTAAAAGTTACTCCAGCAGAAATAATGCACTTGACTGAATATGGGAATTCCTTACAGAGTTCTTCAGCAATTTCTGATTGGCAAACCCACTAGCTCCTTTTACAGCATTATTCACTTTGCCCCCTGGGTCAAGCTGGACACTGCACGCAGGAATACGCCTACATTGACTTGGGGGCATCACTTTCTCCTGATCCTTTCCTAAGGTCCTCTCCTCCTTTCCCAAGGTCTTCAGTCTGCTTCAACTGTGCCTTCCTCACACCCTCCCCACCTGGTCTTCATCCAGTGGGCCTGCCCTAATCACATCGCTTCCTCTTCTGTTGAGCGCTCCTTGAGTTTTAAAGCAATTCCCAAATATTTAACTTGAATAATTAATGTATATTTCATAGATTTTACTGCTTTAACCTTCCAGAGGCTTCTCTGAGATTTGGATTGATCTCACTACTGCCTTCTTCCTTGTTTTCATGTGTAATTTTTTTATGTTTGTCAAGCACATTCACCTGCACTTCATCTTGTGTTTGCCATCACTACTGATATTATTAATATTATTAATATCTTCCTAAAATTTCAGATTCAGCCTTTCACTGTGATCTTGTCTTCATCAAGTGTCTAGATACTTGGTTCCAAGATGTTTCAGGTTATCTTCCTTTTCATTTCCACTGCCATTGATTAACTTCCACTGCCTTTTGTATCTCAATTATTATAATAGTTCTTTCCATTTTTCTCTAGCACTTTACACCTTCCTGTAATATAGTGATTTCCAAGGTATATTGTAGTTCTTCAGACTATGTGGTGTGTCTTCTGTCCTCATAGCTAAAACATAAGCTTAAGAGGAAAGGAGTATCTTGTGCATCTTTATATCTTTTTAGCATTTAACATTTTATCAAGCTTGAGGCATTCAGTATTGTTAAAATTAAGTTAAATCTTGATTGTTGGGCACCTGGGTGGCTCAGTGGTTGAGCATCTGCCTTTGGCTCAGGTTGTGATTCTGGGGTCCTGGGATCGAGTCCCACATCGGGTTCCCCACAGAGAACCTGCTTCTCCCTCTGCCTATGTCTCTGCCTCTCTCTGTGTGTCTCTCATGAATAAAGAAATAAAACTAAAAATATAAATCTTGATTGTTGAATTAGATTAAATAAATTTGTTTCTACTCTTAATGGTATATTCATCTCAGAAATTAAGGAGCCCCCCAAATTAAACTCAATAATTAGACATTTTTAACACCCTAGGAAGTCTTTAGTTTCTGTTGGAGATTTCCAAGAGAGATGATACTTACATGAATCAATGATTGGAACACCTAATATGGAAGTCTAAATTTTGTATTTACAAGGATACTTAATGGGTCAGTTTGTATTATATTTGCCTGAAAATGACAGAAAATTTGATGATAAATGGCTTAAAAACTGTGTGTGTGTGTGTGTGTGTGTGTGTGTGTGTGTGTGTGTGCCTCTGTGTGCACAGGCACAATTTGTTCATATGCCACAAGCAGTTCAGTAATCTGGACAGAGCACCCACCTTAGCCCAAAGCTCTAATATCTAATGATATCTTTCTATTCCTCAGACCTTCTCTTTTAGACCTTTTTCTCCCCTTCATAATTTTCACCTCGTGGTCCCAAGTCAGCTCTTGTAACCCAAACTCATGCCCAAAAGCCAAGTAGCAAACAGGAAGAAGAGCAATGACTAGTGGGACTGTTCTTTTCCAGTGACAGGTGCCTTCATGCCATTGGCAGAATGGTGTCCCATGATACACTCAACTGCAAGGGAACCTGAGAAGGGGATATTTTTCAATGGGAACATTTGAACAGTTAGCTCCCAAAATAAAAAAAAAAAATAGGTGGGGACTAGCAGTGTCTATGATATATCGTGGCTTCAAGGGAAGCAGTCTGTTAAAAAAATTGCATGTTTATTGTCAAATCTAAATTTAAGATCCCGATGTTTTAGATTTTATTATTTGAGAATTTAATGTATGTGCATCAATTTTAGTATAAAGGCATTTTGAAATTAACAAATACTTAAAAACAACAATGTAAAAAAAAATAAACCTTCTTAACTGCTACTGGTTGTATTTTGTTTGTTTTTCTCTTTACTTTAGCCAAGCCTAGTTTTATAATCCAGCCCCAGGACACAGAAGTTTTAATTGGCACCAGCACAACTTTGGAATGTATGGCCACAGGCCACCCACACCCCCATGTTACTTGGACTCGGGGCAGTGGTGAGGCCTTGGATGGATCCAGGCACCTGGCTACTTCTGGAGGACTATACTTGAAAAATGTCACCCTGCAGGATCACGGTCAATTTATCTGTCATGCCAACAATAATCAAGGCACTTTTCAAGCTACAGCAAACATAATTGTACAAGGTATGGGAGCAGGAGGTCATGATTGAAATGTTCATGCTGCCACCCTTAGAAAATTATTTTTCAACATAAAAATAGTAATGGCATGTAAATTAGCGAAGAGATTTTTGTATTTGCCATTTTTTTTTACATAATAGAAATTTCAAAACTAATCTGCTTCACATTAAAACTTGATTTTTTTTTCACTCCAGGCTTTATCCAAATGCTATAATCAACCATGAGTAACAAAGAGATGAAATCATTTGGCAGCAAACTGTCAAAAGATATTTGTGCTTCAATATACTTTACAGACGTAGGAGAGACACTTCAGATATGAAAGTGAAAATGCTGTGCCCTATGTTCATAGTCACTTACCAAGCTGTCTACTGACATAGCTTGGGAACATGCTGATGGCTCTTATGGGCCTGGGCTGCCTAACAAAAGCAGTAATAAAATTATTCTGAACACCACAACTAATTTATATGCATGGGCATGTAATCCTGTTGTAAAGAACTCGTGTTTTTCTGCTATGCATTTATTCTTAACTGGGCTGTCCCTCCCTTTCTGTTGTGGTGGTTGTGAGTGTGGGTTCAGGTATGTGTGCATGTGTTCTTGCACAGGCACTCAACACTCCTTGTGGGCTCAGAGGTATAGTAAACACGGAATGTAAGCCTTATTGGAGCAATGCCAAAAGTCCTGTTGCATCCCAAACCATTTTTCATCAGCTGACAAGAGTATGTGATAGATTTTAAGAGCTTCCTGGAGCCATGAACCTTTTAATTTACTTAAGAAGTTATATTATTTTACTTAACATATTTGTATGTTATCTAGCAAAAAAAACCATACCCTTGGAAATAGAACAAAAACAGGTTAGAAACATGGATTTGGGGCGACTTTGGGGCTGTGAATGTGAACTTCTGGAAAGCAGTGGAATTGGCCTCCTGGAAGTCGCAGTACTTTATCCATCCTGGGTTTTCAACATTCAATAAATGTTTTCTGAATTGCTTTTGCTTAACACCAGCTCTTTAATAGAAATAGATCAATAATTCCTTGTTTCCATTCATACGTCTAAGGAAAAAATTGAGTTTCCCCTAGAAATGTTAATACCATGAAAAACATTTTCTATACTCTAAAAAGGTGTAGAAATGAAATTTTTTCTTGAAGATTCGGTAACCCCTGGGGGAAATTACTTTTAAGGGACCCAAACCTTATTTTTACACTTTCTTTGTGTCAGGGTTGAGAAATGTTTGCAAAGAAATAGTATTGGAGGCCTTTTTTGCTTGCATTATTTTATATTTAATGTCTGGTATTAAGAAGCATAAGGCCCAATCACAAATTTACACTCTGACAGGTTCCTTTATTTCATGCCGTTCTAGACTTTGTGTCTTGGCTTCTTGTGTTTAGTTTGCATTTCTGTTTTTTTCATCTGCATCAGTTCATGTCTAACCGAACTCTGACATTTATGGTGCTGTTCATTTCTCATACCACAATATGCTAACGATTTCTTTTTACCAGGCTGTTTCCACTGAGATTGCCATCTGCTTATCTTTTGTCCCTTGTGACTGTGTAGTTGGATTACTTGTAGGTCTGTATGTCGAGATTTTTAATTGGTCTTGAAATGGTCCATTAATCATTCAATACATTTACAAAAGAGGCTTCTTTTATTTGCCTAGTGCATAGACTAAATATTTTAAGATGTACCCTTTTTCTGTCATCTTAACAGATGTCCTATCAATTTTCTTTAGTTCCTTTAATGTCCATTTAAGCCAAGAACACAATTGCCCACAAATTAATCTCCTTTCTAGACCGGCTGAACAAATGATAAAATGGAAAGGAAACAGTTTCAACGAAAGGTGTGAATCACAGGATGGGGCACTTAGATGAAAGGGCTGTAGTTACCAATGATGTAAATAAAAATGCTTTTTTGTATGAGGCATCATGGTTTTGTAAAATCCACTTCATCTAAGCACATGGGACTTTAGTATCAGAGGTGATATGATGGCCACCATTGTAAGTAGAAGGTCCAGAAATGTCAGCTTATTATTCCTGTTGAATTCCTCCAGCCTACACCACCTGCTTTTGTGATATTTAGCTCTTCTAGGTTTTCTCTCCATTAGATCAAAATTTATTCACTGAGCTAGCAAACAGGTCCAGAATTCTGGATTAGAATTTTCAGGTTAGGAAAAAAATGTAAAATGATCATTTACTTTTATGTATTTCCTATTTTTTTTGGTAAGATTGGTAGTCTTGAATTAAAAATATCATTTTCTATGAGAACATATGAAATATAACAATGCCAGACTTGGATAGTTGTGAGTTTTAGTTATTATTAAAAAGTTAAAGTCAAATTTCCCAACATTTGTGCCTTGACTAAATGACTTGCTGTAATTACTACCTTTTGCTCTTCTACTGTGTTATGAATCCATTTTTTAACATAGAAATATTTTTGGCCATTTCAGGTCATTTTAGCAATTTAAAAATTTCATGTAATATTCTGGAAAGAAACATCAGGCCGGGTGAGTGGCCTAAATTCTCACTGTGTCTTTGAGAGTTATTCATCTCAACCCTCCCCAGCCCGAATTTCTTCATCTGTGCAACATGGAACCTGAGACTGCTGATCTGTGGCCTATTTTCCACCTTGACTTTTCTAAGACATCTAAGATATCTTGCAGACATTCCTGAGGGATTTCATGAATTTGCATGACCTTATAATTTTTCTTTTTTTTAAGATTTTATTTATTTATTCATGATGGAGAGAGAGAGAGAGAGAGAGAGAGGCAGAGACACAGGCAAAGGGGAGAAGCAGGCTCCACTCCGGAAGCCTGATGTGGGACTTGATTCTGGGACTCCAGGATCACGCCCTGGGCCAAAGGCAGGCGCCAAACTGCTGAGCCACCCAGAGATCCCGAATTTATCTTTTACCATTGTTTATCCTAGTGCCTTACTTAGAAATGAAGATTTTTAAAAGTCTTTATTACTTGCATACAATATGAAAGCTGAAACAAATACAGTTTGCCAAATATTATTTATTTTATCATGATTTATCTTTTTCTAAAGATTTATTTATTTATTCATGAGAGACACAGAGAAAAGGCAGAGACGTAGACAGAGGGAGAAGCAGACTCCTCACAGAAAGCCTGATATGGGACTTGATCCTGGATCCCAGGATCACAACCCCAGCCAAAGGCCAGCGCCCAACCACTGAGCCACTCAGGCATCCCTATCATGATTTATCATGATTATAAATCCAGATGGTGAGAAAAGCAAAGAGAGGGTTAGTACAAAGATCGAACAGCAAGGAGAAGGGGTCAGGTTATCTCAGAAAGTTGTTTTAAAAATGTCATCACTTAGGAATTATTGGAGATTACCATGCCCTTAAATGGTCATATAGATTTGTTTTTCACGCTAATAAAAGAGTCATGAATAGATTATATAACTGTATATGCAGCTATTTGCTATTTAAACAAATTCAATTGTAAAATATCTGAATGTTTGGAACTCTTGGAATTTTGACTTAAATGTGACTTTTTAAAAGGTATCTTATCACTATAGATAGAAAGCTTTATAGAAAGCATTTTTTTTCCTGAAATTAATGGAGCAATTTGTTTCAAATTGTATACTGTATCTGAAAGTTTGGAGGCAACAATTTTATTAATGGCTCAAATAAAATTTGTAGTTTTATTTAAACTCTGAAGAAGATTCCATAAGGTTTAGAAATAATTCCTTCTTACTCTCGCTTTTCTGCTTTGCAAACCAGATATATATTTTTTTGGTTTTTTTGCAAGCACGCACAAGCACCTACACATTCTAAATAGCTTTTGGGTAAATAATTGGAAACAGTCTCTAATTAAGCAACATATTTAAACATATTTCCTTGTTTCTTTACTATGAGCAATTTATAGAGTAATTTTTAATATTGATATAATTTTTCATTCTATTTAGCTCCTCCACAATTCACAGTAATCCCCAAGGATCAAGTGGTGCTAGAAGAACATACTGTAGAATTTCTCTGTGAAGCTGAAGGCAACCCACCTCCAATAATCGCCTGGACCAAAGCAGGTATTAGCATATCCACCAGTGACTGTGGGAAGAGATAAATACCTTCTTTATTATGAGATATAAAAAACAGTTCAAACTAATTATCATAGGTATATTGTGGACATGAAAGCATCACACAAAACATAATCTTTGAATTAAATATGTCATCATAATTTCTGTGATGTGTTAAGTTTCAACATTTGAATATGTGGCCTTCCTCAGATAATCTGTCTGCAACTCAGTTTCCTGATTTTGTTTTTTTTTTTAGTTCAGTCATCCTCCCACCCACCTTCTCTCTGGCAACCACCAGTTTGTTCAGTTTCTTGATTTCTAAAATAAAATTATTGGACAGTTAGTGGTTTTAAAGATTTTTAAAGTGGCAGAACTCTCTCTTAATACAAAGTAAAATTGTAATTGCAGTGAAATTAACCATCAGTAAGACCCCAGCATGGTAGGTGGGTAAAGACAGCTGCTGTCTTGGATGCTTTTTTGGGGGGCACCTGGGGGCCTCTGTCGGTGAAGCGTCTGCTGCTGACTCAGGTTATGGTCTCAGGGTCCTGGGATCACCGCATCAGGCTCCCTGCTCAGTGGAGGGAAGCATTCCCCTCTCCCTCTGCCCCTCCGCCCACCTGTGCTCGCTCTCAAATAAATAAATAAAATCTTTTTTTTTTAATGAGGAATGCTTTTTAAAAAAGATTTATTTGTTTTAAAGATGTATGTATGTATTGATTTATTTGAGAGAAAGAGAAGGCTAGAGGGTGTGAGTGGAGGGAAGACAGAAGGTGGGAATCTTCAAACTGACTTCCTGCTGAGCATGGAGCATTAAAGGGCTGGGCTCCATCTCAGGACTCTTGAGATCATGACCTGAACCAAAACTAAGAGTTGCTGGCTTAACCAACTGAGTCACCCAGGTGCCAAGAGAACTGCTGTCTTTTAAGTGTGGTGTGGTGCAGGGTGCATGCGAGGGGCCTAGCACTTTCCAGTGATCCCTGGGGTATAAGAGAATAAGGTCTACACTATGTGATGAGAGCTCCTCTAAGATTTCTATGGTCTTGGAATTGCTAAGTTTTATATTAATTCAGGTAACTAGGTTAAATTCTAAACACATCAACATTTATGATTTTCTTTTGGCTAAAATTTTTGCTCTCATCTTTATAAGAGTAGAGTGGGTAGGAGATGAACTTTGAAGCCAGAAATCCAAGATTCACATCTCCCTCCTACATTTACTAATTGTATGACCTTGGACAAGTAAGTTAACTGTGGTTTTACCAGAGTTGCCTTATCTATATGCCAGGAGTGACAATAATGGTTGTGGGGATTGTTTTGTTTTGTTTTGTTTTTTAATTTTTTTAAAAATTTTTATTTATTTATGATAGTCACACAGAGAGAGAGAGAGAGAGAGGCAGAGACATAGGCAGAGGGAGAAGCAGGCTCCATGCACCGGGAGCCTGACGTGGGATTCGATCCCGGGTCTCCAGGATTGCGCCCTGGGCCAAAGGCAGGCGCTAAACTGCTGTGCCACCCAGGGATCCCTGTGGGGATTGTTTTGAATGTATTTATACTATAAACATTTAGAAGAGTATTTGTTTCATTTGTGTACATGGTTATTAAAGGTTAACTATTTGTCTTTGACATAGATTGTCACTGAAATAGTTGAGAATGACAATCCATCAACTTGTTAATGGCCACAAGGAGTGTAAACTCAGCATAAGCTCAGATGGGTTAAAGTGCAAGGTTGCCTGGGGGGGTATGTATGGCTGTGAGGATCAGCAGCCTGAATGTCACAAAAATGACCATTTTTAAGATGCTGTCTCAGCACCTTAAATGTTGTAATTCCATAATTTTTTATATTCCAAATATTTTATACGTATAATAAATGTTATGAAGGTATTTGAAAATCGTATTTAGTAATCATTTGGAGAGGTAATCTAGGAATAAGAACTATTATTTTAAAAAATGAACAAATGCAAAAACAATTCCTCTCCTAGCCAAATTTTGCCTTGTTTGCACTCTATTAAGTAAAAAAATGGGGTGATGAAGCTATATAAGTAAGTGTGGTCGGTTAGCCTGTGCAATACCTCACATGCTCCCTTAGGCATTTTAGCTTATTCTAACAGTAACAAGAAGCCACCATAAGCAAGGGTAGTGTTGGATAAGGTTAGTTTTGAAATTTGGACTCTAACGGTGGAAAATAAAAGGGGGGGGCAAATATGAAGTTGGAGGAATTCATTAAGGGGGCTGACCAGTTCTTCTGCTGGGGGCTGGTCAATTTAGTATTAGGAGCAGCTGTCACAGTATTGTGGCATGGAGGATTTCCAGAGAGTTCCCAACCTTTACCCAGCACCAGAAGATAACACAGTTCTAGCGGTCAGTTCCTGAGCCATAACAATGCCATACAGAGTATTTTCTTTCCCTCTTTACAGGTGGGAAGCTCCCTCAGGAAGGTCTACATACAGTTCTCTCCTCTGGCACTTTGAGAATTGACCAAATGGCACATCATGACCAAGGCCAATATGAATGTCAGGCAGTCAGTCCATTGGGAGTGAGAAAAGCATCTGTCCAGCTGACTGTAAAACCCAAAGGTAATGTGTGCTGTGATTGGGTTTATACACCTGAAGAGTGCCTCTTCATGTGCTGGGGGGACTTTATTACTTAGGTATTTTTTCACACATTGCTGGGGGAACTTTATTACTTAGGTATTTTTAATTTTATAGGACCTAAGAAATTGCAAATTCGATAACCTTTAAATCAGTCTTTTTTAAACTTGAGGATTATATTTCTATTAATGTTAATTATTAATATAATGTTTTCTTTCAAAAAATATAATTTTGTGTTTTCTTACATTTTTTGGAAAGCTAGCTAATTAGCCCTACCTGCAGAGATTAGCTCTCAGATACATTCTCACACTTGATGGTCTGAATTTTGGTCTTATATTGATGTATTTTTTATGCTCAGGGTTATTGGGAATATACTACAGACCTTTTCTTCAGACTCATCATGAAATACAATGCTTCGGTTTATTATAATAGTAACATTCTGGTATGAAGTTGGGTTATTTGTTCATAATTTATTGTTAACTGACGTAAAAAAAAGAAAATTCAAGGCTTAAATTTTGAAAGATAGTTCCAATGTAAGAATGAAAAGTGGTTGTTATTAGGTACTCTTGAAATTTCTTCTTAGTTACTGGCTTATGTTGAAATGGAGTAACTTAGTTACAATATATAGAAAGTGCCTAAACTTCATTTTTAACATTGTTTTACATTAAATATTATTTCCTGTATTTCTCCATAAATTTTCTATAATTTGTTTTGGTGTAGTAAATCTAAATTCAGAGGTAACACATATTTAATAAACAGAGACAAAGGTTAGCCAGATGTAGCAATATAAATGTAAAAAGAAATGTTAGTAATGCTTTAAGTGTTCAGTGATGCTGAGACATAGATATAAGATTACATTGCACTAATATCTATGTGCAATCTAGTATTGGCCCCTTTCTCACTATATTTTCAATATATCAAATGCTTATTATTATTTATTTGATGGAAGTTGAGGTTCTATGAAGAGGAAAAAAGATATTAGGGAAAGTATTCAAATAGCAAGTGAAATACATGGGAAGATTTGAAAACACTATTGAAAGATGAAGGGAACTGTCATGCCCTTGGAAAATCCCATTTCTTTGGTTCATCCTTGCTAAGAGGAAATGTTGAAATCTGCTCTGCAGAATGTTTAAAACTGTTTAATTGGTTCTCAACTAATTCAGCTAAAATTAAAAATGGTAATATAAAGACCTCCTGATTTTTAAATTATTTTAAAGATTTATTTATTTGAGAGAGAGAGAGAGAGAGAGAGCACTCATGGTGAGGAGGAGAAATGGAGAGGCAGAGAGAAACTCAAGCAGATTCTGCATTCAGCAAAGCCTGACTTGGGGCTCGATTTCATTACCCTGAAATCAGAGTCAGATGCTCAACCAACTGCACCACCCAGACACCCCTACATTAATATATTTTTTAAAAGGAGTTTATATTAAATCAATACATTATGGTCAAATAAAATAAATCATTAAGATGCTGAAGTTAATGGTCTTAGCTTTGTCCTCTTTTTGCCCCATTGTTACATCCTTCCACCTGAATAGACTTGCTCCCATTGTCCTTCTAGATCTCAATTTAGAAGCATGCTCCTTCTCCAAGGATTTCTCCACTCTCTAAGATATTTTAAGGTGCCACTATTGAAATTAATATTAGAATATATAATTTAATCTAATAGTTGACATATATGGAGGAATTTGATAAATTTATAAAATATCCATAACTAAGAAAATATGATTAGCAATAGGCACAAATGTAGAAACAAACAAAATTTTTAATGAACAGAGAGCCTTACTGGTTGAATGTACACTATGTGAATGGAGTGGGAGAGAGGGCCATAGAGAGGAAGTGATTAGGATGGTTGGTTGAGTTAGAATGTATCAGAGCTTGACTATACTATGGAACTTTCCAATTGTTGGCCAGATCAATTATGTAGAATATTAATCAGCCCAAAATGAATAGGTAAATGTTGGAGTAAAAAAACACTAAAAATAAGAAACCATTAGATCTATGACATGCCAAGTGATGTGTTAGGTGACCTGAACGTCCATGACAGTGGGATTGGAAGAGTTAATGAATTCAAGTAAACATATAACAAGTGGAACCATTTTATCTCTGAAATTATTAACAATTTTTTACCAATAACTACCCCTACAGTATTTTGCAGAACCCATTTTGTGTGTATTGAAGTGTTTCTCAAAGTGTTCTCTGGATTGTCAGTGGAGGAAATTTCCAATTTCATGGGGGGGGGTTAGGTTAAACTGTCTCATAATAATAACAAGATTATAAATCATAAAGAATCCAGTGGCATATGAAAACATATTTGTCCATAATTAAGTGGTTTTCATTCCAGAAAGTCAAAGATAGTGCAATAATAGGAAAGCTATTAATATACTTTATCATATTAATGGATTTTAGAAGAAAAATCAGGATTCTTGCCATAGATGCTAAAAAAGGCATTTGATAAAATTCAACATTTATTATAATTAAAAACTCTCAGTTAATATAGATCTGAATAGACATTTCTTCAACATGATAAAATAGATTTACATACCTGGATTTTTTGCATAGATATACAATATAGTTTTCTTTTTTTTTAAGATTTTATTTATTTATTCATGACAGACACAGAAAGAGAGAGACAGACAGAGGGAAAAGCAGGCTTCACACAGGGAGCCTAACGTGGGACTCGATCGGGGGGTCTCCAGGATCATACCCCAGACCAAAGGTCGTGCTAAACCGCTGAGCCACTGGGGCTGCCCGACAGTTTTCCTTTTATATACTTTAATGAATTTTTAGGATTTGTTATCAAATTATGCTTGCTTTACTGAATTCATTAGCCAGAATCCTGCTTAATAGAGACATGGTATAAATATTTTCACTAAGGAAAGGTTTCTGCTGTCAATACTGTCAATTAATAGAGATTTGGAGAGACAAATCATTTCAATAAGCCAAGAGACACAAGAAAGAATAACCAAGAAAATTCTGAAAAAGAACTATAATTAAGGAGGACTTATTTTACTAAATTATAAAACATATAATAAAGCTACATAAATTAAAACAGTAACAGATAGTACATTAAAACAAAATATCTAATCTACAAATTGATTCCCTTTCATATGGGAATGTCATGGTGAAAAAGATGCCATTTCCTTTGAGTGAAGAAGAGATAACAATTCGATAAAATTTGGGGGAATTACTGAGTAGACACATAAAAATTAACACTGGGTACATATGATGTAGATTTTGTTCTGGAGAATAAGGAAGTTTATGTGCCTGGCCCTTCTTGAGATCTGTGTCATAGCCTCTTCCACACACATCTCCACTAGATCTTCTCTGCTTTATGTAGCCCCCCTCCAGCTTTTTTTTTTTTATTTTTTTTTTTTTGTGGAGTGGGCTTTAGTGCTTTCCTAATGTTACTGAAAACGAATGGTAGTTTTATGAACAAAACTAGTAGTACATTTCTGTTTCTCATCCTCCCTGTTGCCAGTGGACCATTATTTTAATAAAAAATGGAAATGCCACCCTTATGTCCCCAAACCACAAGGCTCCACCTCTTTTTTTCAATACTTAAATCTCACAATGTATAATGCCCACAGTTCTTTTCCTGGCCTTCTATCAGTATAGGCTGGAGCGGGTGACTCCAGTAGGTTGGGGTGTCCATCTGAGTGTAGGGAGTGGGAAAAGACAAGGTTTAGTTTTTTGTATACTTACTTCTTTTTAATTCAATTCTTCCTGACTAGAGATGGCCAAGAAGGAACAGAGAGAAAGGGACAGGTTCACTGATGGGAAGCCAATGGCAAGATGGCTCTCTCCTTTTTGTTGCTGCGAGGTGTTGTCTGATCCTCAAGGTCCTCTGCAAGGCTAGTTCCCCAGCATCATATGAATATTATTCAGAGATCATATCAAGATTCCCCTACTGCTTATTTCCCTGGACCCAGCTTCAGCATGTGGCCTTTTATTTTATTTTTTTAAAGATTTTATTTATTTATTTATGAGAGAGAGAAAGAGAGAGGCAGAGACACAGGCAGAGGGAGAAGCAGACTCCATGCAGGGAGCCCCATGTGGGACTCGATCCCAGGTCTCCAGGATCGCGCCCTGGGGTGAAGGCGGGTGCTAAACTGCTGAGCCACCCGGGCTGCCCAGCATGTGGCCTTTTAACCTTAATTGTTTTTTCTCACAGCTGATTATTCCAAAGCCCCTGCTGATATGGTTTCCTCATTCAATGGGTAGTTCACAGTAGTGGTATTAATTGTTAGAGAGGAAAGGCAAATCACCTATATCAATTAAATTAACAACAGGTTTTGGGACATGTAGGTGGCTCAGTGGTTGAGCATCTGCTTTCAGCTCAGGGTATGATCCTGCGGTTCCAGAATGAAGTCCCACATAGGGTTCCCTGCATGGAGCCTGCTTCCTCTCTGCCTATGTCTCTGCTTCTCTCTCTCATGAATAAATAAATAAGATCTTAAACAATTAACAATAGGTTTCATATCAGGAGTAACAGAAGAAACAAGATGTTGGAATCAAAACTTCAAAGTATCTAAGAAAACATAACAGTAAATCTGGTTTTATATAACTATCAATCTTTCAAGAACAAGGGCTCAATAAAGATATTTTCAGTAAACTGAGAATGGCAACGATAATACTACTTAATGGAAATTTCTAAAGGAAATTCATAAAGAAAAGAAAGGTCTTAAAAAATGATATTCAAAAAACAATCAAAGGTGAACAAAGAAACAGCTGAATATATAGGTAATATTATCATATTTTCTGTATCAAATAGTAATAATAATAATTGTTATGATGTGGCACTAAATGAAAACCACATAATTAAATACTACCTAACAATGGAATATCAGTTAGGAAAGTGATTATTGGAATAAAGATAGTTATAATATTCTTATATATTTCGCAAAATATCAAGGGTAAGTGGCAAAAATAAAAAAGATCTGGCAATAAGTTTCAAATCAGGAAGGTGAAAAAGGTGGAGTTAGAAA